TGATTATCAGCCATACACATAGCTAACAAGTTACATCAGATTGCTAATACTGTAGGAGTTCAAAATCTTTGCCGAGCAAAGTGAGCGTACCTATAATTATAATAATTAATATAGCCATCTCAAAAACGTGCTTGAAAAATTGGAACTTTATAATTTTACGCCACTCGCTATTTATCCATATTATTGTTTATATCCTATCCATGACACTCACAAGATCTCCAGGAACACCTTTTCTGCCTTCTTCTCCAGGGTCCCCAGAAGGACCTGTGTCTCCCTATCACCAATAAACACCATAGTAATTATCCTACATATTATTGGTTGAACACAAACCGCTATATACATATATAAAACCGCTATATACTTAATGTTATAGTCTGATTCATAATGTCAAACAAATATACCGTTATTACCTGATACACTACACATTTTGTAGGAGTAACCAAGAGAACTGTTGTGTATATCATTATATAAACCCTGGGCATGCAGGTATTAGAACTTGGCTGGCTACATAGAGTGAGGCTTTTCAAGGATCTGTGTATACAATACTAATGATGTGTTGATAATTATGTCTAAGAAGGTTCATCACTCTGGGTATTAGTTAGCACACTTTATTGGTCCCTATCATAATGTATGGCCTGGGGCTAACTAACAGATAGCAACATATGGACCAAAACTGAGTACAAAACAGTAGTTTCCAGCATTCCATAGTGTTGAGCAGTGTAGCAGGAGAGTCCCGGTGAGAGTGAAGCAAACATCAAAAGGTAGCTGCAGATGGCTACTTCTGCTCCACAATATACTCCCCACACTACCAACATTCCTTCCCTCCCTACTAGTACAGGCCAGTGTTCCCTGTCGCGGAGAGCCGCATCTACTCCACAGTGTTTAAACCACATTAAACACAGCAGCCTTACATCTCCCACCACACCTATACAGCCCCATGTGTATGGGGTCTTAGGGAGGAAAGGCTCCCTGCAAGACTACATCTGTGCCCCACATTCCTCCATTTCCCAGACACCATCAGGAGATGTATGGTACCACTAACTCTAGTGGAAGTCAGGAGTTGTTGGGAGTGCATGTATTAGAAGGAACTTACAATCATTCCTTTCTCGCCACCTTCTCCGTTCGGTCCTACTGGTCCAACATCACCCTGCAGACACACACATACGTAGCACCTCAAATATACACACATCATTTGCTGTTCAAAATCAGTTCAATCAGTTCTTACTTCATTATAAACCATAGAAAATGGAACACGAGGGCTAGAGGTTAGACTAGACAATTGAAAGACAACGCACTGCGAAACACAGTTTTTGTGAGATATATTATACCGTGATTTATATGAAGTAATGACCTAAAAATCTTATCAGAAGGTTTTCATTAGACATATTGATAGGGGCTTTGTATTAGTTGTTGTACCTTTGGTCCTGGAGGTCCCACACGGCCGTCGGTTCCATTTTTACCAGACTCTCCTTTCTGCCCAGGCCGACCCTGCAGTGACGGGCAACACACACACACAAGGATAGCTAACACTCACACAACAATGGTTAGAATAGGAAATGTCTCAGAGACTAAGACTCGACTCACTTGAGCTCCAGCAGGCCCAGTTATGCCCTGCAAATCACAAGCGATTGAGACAGTGAGCTAAGTACACTTACGTACATACACACAATATTAACACTTAACCAGCTGTGGACACATAATGTGCCCAGAGCCTCCATAAGTCCATGCAATACAAGGCGTTTTATACATCAATTTCTGCTTATTTAAGCAGATACCTGTGGTGTCCACAGGGTTAATACTCATTTTTCGTGGAGGGAAGAGGGGTGAGTGTTTGGGCTCTTACCGGGAGAACATGTGGACAGAACTCGGTAACGGCATTTCTGTCATTTGATACCACTGCTGAATGCACCTGTAGAATAATGATGTAACTGAAAGCCAAGAACAATAGTAAAGGGAAGAACAGCGGAGAATGAGTCTTGGTCTATACATTGCCCATAGTAACTACATATCCATCGCCAAAAAGATTGAAAACAAGTAAAAGAAACACGTCACAGTTAATTACTGTGTGCACATTGGTCTACCGTATTAACCACAGGTCCAGAACCAATTAAACAAGTAGTTCAAATCACGGTAGATTATGGGCGTTGGTTCAATACTAACCACATATCCAGCGTCAAACAGAGAGAAGTCAGTGGTGGAAGTGGCAGTGATGTTGTCCGGAGTAGAGCGCAGCTTCAGAAACGAGTCCAAGGAACAGTTGACGTAAACAGAGAGGAAATCTCCTTCCAACTTGAGAATAATTGAGTGGAACCCCTCGTCGTTCACCACAATTGGTTCTGTGACCGTCTCTCCTCCTGGCAGTAAAACCACCAGGTCAGTTCGATCGTCTGTTCTCACCACATCGACAGTCAGGAGCAAAGTCAACCCGTCAAACAGACTGAAGAGATTCGTGGTGGTAACCGTCTCCTTCCTATAACTTAGCCCGAGAGAAAACTCCCGGGGAAAGTGGGAAAAGACTGTTGCCCAGGCGTCAGAGTTTGCATCTCCCGTCAGGGATCTGGACAGTATGTATGCGTCGTCGGCGCCCTCCGGTCCTGTGGTGACAGTTGCCCCATTTCCCGATGGGTTGTCCCGTAATCCCACAGAGTCCAGAGTATCAACTACATAGTAAAAAGAGACTGGATGAGTGAGTATGTGATTCACTCAAAGATTGGGTGCATTAACAGGTCTATACTCAGTCTCAACAGTACTATATACTCAGCTGTTGCACACTGTCACTCAGCCAGATTCCTTTCCTTCCCACCACCTTCATTCCAACCATGACCACAGCTATTGCCCCTGGCAACACGCAGTTTTAACTGCCAAAACCGTCCACCTCTTACAGAGCTGCACAGCCTGGCTCTGGCTCAGAACAGGGTGGAGGGCATGCCCACACCTCTAACTGCCCTCCCTGTGCGGTACAGTTCTTACTGAGAAAAGCCACAGGTATTTTTCCCTCCACTCATACTATGGGTAAACAATTTTGTACGAGAACATTCCCTGACAGTTGAGTAACACTACAGTTATTAGGAGTGAAGAAGTTGTGGGGATTGTGGAGGGACAATGGGAGATTGTGGGGCTATCAACCAAGCAACAATAGCCTACTATTCTAACCTCTTACAAACCTAGTCCTCTAGGTGAGAGTTTCATGCCACTGCACTATGGGTATGCCACCCACTCACTCTACCAGGCATTCTTCAAAAGTGAATTCCTGAGTAGATGAGTGGATCTAGATTGTGGTCTCCCTACAGATGGTATGCAGATGTTCAAAACACAACACAGTGCCTCCTGTCCAACTGAGGGGGTTGTGTACTCTCCTCTACTGCCATCTCAATTTTCACATGCTAAACTCTCACTCTGCATCCTCAACCAGAAAAACATGCTCACTCGGAAGAGATGTACTAGAAAGAACATTTTTGGCCAGCTGAGCCCAACCAGTTCAATTTTCTTGTGTATTCAGAACGATCACTTGTGTATTTAGAATCACGTAGAACATACGTAAAATTATGTATATAAACCCCGGGGGGAGGAGTCTAAGGGCACAATGAGAACAGTCGTTAAGGTATTAATATTGGGTTAAACTGGTGCGGCAACATCTCACCGGGGGTACGATGAATGGTGGTCGTGTCTGCACAATTGAAAGGGAACGCATCAAGGGGTGGATTATCCAGGGTTAATACACTGTTCCGGCGGAATGGCAGCCATGGGTGTCTTTCTTATAGTCAAAGGTGAAATTATAAAAGATAGAGAAAACAATATTAGCGTAGGGTGTGGATAACCTCCCTAAGAGGGGGAGAGGTATTGGTGCTTCTTTATGGGGAAGGGGACAATACCAAGTCAAACGGGGAATCGTAACAAAAGGCGTTAAGGAACAGTCAACAATCAGATAACAATTACCAAAATGGCGGGGCGGTCTTCGTTGCAAACAGGTGGGCACATCACAATAGAATCGGTTTAAAAAAGCGCCAACATAACAACCGAGGGATAATAGGCAGTGCCACAAATAACACTTTAAACAACTTCACTCCCGGACTAGGGGATGACAAGGAGGCCAATAAAACAGGTGTTCTCCTCCTATCATCAATAATAGTTCAAAACGGCAATAAACTAAAATGCAATTGGTTAGGGGTTCCGACTGAGGGGGGTTAATTCATACAGGAAGCGGGAAACGGAGGGGGGGTTCATACAGCCAGCCATGGTTCGCTTACCAAACGACATACGGCAAATACTAAACATAAAGGGGTCTACCAATATTAAAGGCATATTCACTCTAACAATAGGTAACGTACTCAATAGCAAATACGATTAGGAATGGCAAGCTTAGGGATGGAATAAAATGGAGTATTTAATTGATACTCGCTGGAAGGGTACGGTAGAAGGGGGGGTTCAATAAATAGGGATGGTGCACAAACCCAAAAAAGGTTACGAAAGGTTCGTAAGGGCAGAGTTCAAGAAAGGAAAGTGGTTAACCTGCAGAGGAAAAAAAATTGTAATAAATGGAAAAAAGGAAAAAATAATTTTGTGGTATGTTGATGAAATGAGGTGGATAAGTTGTCCAATGCCCATCACATACAAATAATCAGAAAATCCAGCATTCAGATGGCTAGGTAGGCTCGATCCACTCCCCAATTAAATATACCTACCCCAGAGCCAAATTTTTTAAATTTGCATGCCATGCAATAGGGACAAAAGCCACACCTCTTTCGGTAACAAACAGTCAAATCATAAGCAGAGTGGTTTGCAGAGAATTACACAGGTCCTCACCCCCGAGCAATCGAAGTCGACAAAAGTCAATTCCCCGGGGAAAACAAAGTACTACAATTGGAACAATACCAGATGAAGCAGCTTCAATGCACTGGTGAAAACAGCGTTCAGACGTCAGATGTGTAGTTGCCTGCCACATGACACAGACTGTGACAATACATAGCGACGAACACCATACGAAAACGACACAATGACTAAAGAAACACGTTGCCTAGATCTCTGGCAGAGAAAGTACGGCGGTTTCAGCCAAGCCACAATTACATCTATACTTCTACACAGATCCAGGTCGGTGCTCCGAGTGTTGGTATGCGTGTGAATGTCTAACGGTGCCAGGTATGATGCGAGGCTCTTTGTGTATTGCCACTGGGCGAGTCTGCATCTTGGCACCAACAGAGCGGTTGCTATAGGGCATTGCAACTAAGCAAGGATCAGTAGTCAAGGCAAGATTAGTAGTAACCCAGCACACATATATACGTCCATATCCTGTGGAAAGTCAGTTGACTGTACCACAAATATGAGCTTAATTGGAGCTCTATAAAGCTGTACTTATATCTTACAGTTCCAGTATATACACTACACTGCCCACTGCAATGTGGGCCCCCCCTTCAGAAAAACAACTACTCTCCCTTCCAGCTACAATATCTGAGCTACAATGTCTCAGCTACAATGTCTCAGCTACAATGTCTCAACTACACTCCATGGACTCCATATGGATCCCCATACCAAGAACAGTGCAATACAAACTGTCAGCTGCTCGCCATACTATCCACACCACTACACCCTGTACCCACTCTTCACTGACCAACTAGGAACACCACCAGCATACCTGTGGGACCTCCACAAACTTCAACATACAGCAATACAGGACATTAGGGACAGGAATTCATTATCACCATGATGTAAATGAAAATCTTGAACTCAGTCAGAGTATAAAATTTAGATGCAATTATGGGCTAGCAAGAGTTTTACAGAGAAACACCCAATGACTTACTGGTGACCAGCTCAAATGCCGCCACTTGGACCGAGAAATGATGTAAAGTCAATAAAAGTGTCCCAACCAGCAGGGGGTAGGGTAAAGCGGATGGGAGTCCCATCCTGACTGGTCCAGGCACGTCCACAGCCTGTCAACCGCTGCTCTCTCTTTGCCTCTGCAGACATGCAGGAGAATCAGATAAACCACAATCAACATGTGTGTCAAAATGCACAATGTCTAACCATGCAAGTGCTCGCACAATTACGAAACCGATTCTGTAACCCATTCCCGCATTCTTCAACTTGTTTTCTTGCTTTGACAATATTACACAGACAGAGCAATACTAGCAGATTGTCGAGCCAAAAGACTGGATGTTGGAAATTCCTTTCAATAACATGCACAAAGACGAAACGAGGGCTACACTCGGTAGAATGTACTTGCTATTGTAGCGAGAGTGAGACGATGGAGAGAACGACTCTAAAAACGTCACATGATTGAATCCGACCACTTGGGCCATCTGCTCTATTAATATGTGTGTACTCTGGACATGCCAGCTCTGTGTACTAGTGAACACACCCAATAGTCTCTGATCCCCGATGTCACGTTGGAGTATTAAACTGTACTACACTGTGGAGCTCTATGCACCGAGACACTGTGGAAGTTTTGGCAATTGGGTTGTTGCTAAATCAATTACGGTTGGCCTCAGAATGCCTGTAGCCATTATTGCCATGATCCAGATTTCTTGGGCAATACACCGTACTGCCACACTGTCCGTATACAGGTGTAGGTAGACATTCTCACGCTTTCCCCCTTTCTTTGTGGTAGAATGAAAAACCTACTTCCATTCTGCTAAGACTCAGAATGATTCCAATACCTCTTTTTCATCAACAATACTACACACAGACTGGAACATTGTAGAGCACAGAGAAATGAGTAAATGTAAATGTATCCCTCTAACGTGGTGGTCAAGAAAGAAATTGCTGGAAGCAATCTCAGGGTTTACTCGCTCTCCTCGCCAATTTGTAGAAACTGCTCTTCGAGGTGTGTTGAACTGTCAACAACCTACACAGGCATTGCCACAGTCTTATAACAGCAACATTTGGCGGCTCATGTGTTTCGTGTAAAAAATGCTATTCTACTAAAATAGTACAGATCAAATATTATTGGTGAGCGAAAGCAGTCTGAGTATGCAATTTTTATGTGTCCAACAACGACACTTTTGTATGCATTGTTTTACGTACAACTGCTTCAATTTCGCAATCACGTTTACCCGCCAATAATGTGTTGCATTCGTCCCAGTATGTGAGAAAGATGTGGATGAAATATGAGGTCTACGTGGGCTACTAAGCAACAAGAATCAATGCCCAGAAATTCATCCACTGACCACAAGTAGCCACTAGCCCACCACTGAACGCCTTCAACAGTGCTTGGTGGGTTTAGTTTTGGCACCTCAATGCACAGCCATCTGCTCTTTACGTGGAAAAGGTTTCTACTAGTGCTTGAGTTGTGTGATCAGGTAAACTTATCCGAAGTCCCGAAGCCACTAGCACGCATGTGGATATCCGTACACCTCCGCAATTAATGATATTCATAGGCCTTAATTGCAATGTGGACGCGGAGCGGAGTGACCGAGATGCGACCCATTCGAACAGACAAAGCAGCTCTAGCCATAATACATTCGCACAAGGACTTGGCATAGGACATACAGTTCATCGGACTATAGCATACACTCTAATACCCTTCAACTGCAAACCGAGCACTGCAGAACACTTCTGCACTTCTGCAACACGCGCAGAATTGTTCTTCGCAAGGCGACGCGTAGAAGGATTACTGTGTACAACACTGGTACATTTACACTCACCTTTCCGACCTGCAATCCCTTGACCGAGAACCAGGAAAACGCAGCTAGAAAGAACTACGCCAGCAGACTTTTACGGGCCATAGACGCGAAGGCATACCTTGACTAAGCGCACCACATAATGCGAGTGTCTCCGCCCACGCGAAATAGCCACGCTTGATTAGATCACGTGAGGCGTAAATTACCGCGCTCCTCCGAAGCTGCCGACGACCGTGCCAGGGTTTGTTTGGACCTTCGTATTCTTTGGAACTCCAATACCTGAATACAGCAAAATGGAGAAAACGCCTCTGTTCTTGGCTCTGAGTCCGAATAAAACAACGAGCCCCTCCCCCTTTCTAGAGGCGCGCATTGATTGGAGCAGTCCAAGGGGGATGTGCGTCCGTCCCTGCCGCGTGCGTGTGCGTCGTGAAGTGTGTCACAACCAAGAATCACTTACCTGCTTTAGCAGTAAGGAAAGAAACATTCACCTGTTTAGGTGAAACGCTAATGGTAACGCCGCCGTTGTCAGAGTCCTCTTCCCCCCTTACTACTGACTGGCTACTCTGTCCCCCATAGCGCAGAGCTCTGACGCAGCTACAATGGCCGGGGCCCATGAAGAACGACTTCATCAAGGGGGAGAAAATTGGATGGAGTGTGCCTTTGACATGGCCCAGCATGCACTGGAGTGTGGAGAGGTTCCAGTGGGATGCGTGGTAGTGCACGGTGGAGACATCATTGCCAGAGGGTGCAATGAAGTCAACAAGACTCTCAATGCCACAAGACATGCGGAGATGGTTGCAATAGATGAATTGGTGGATTATTCAAAAGAGCAAAAAGACTCTTTGACTAGCATATGCAGTCGTTCGACTATCTACGTGACTGTGGAGCCCTGTGTCATGTGTGCATATGCTCTGAGACTTGTTGGACTATGCAGGGTGGTGTATGGGTGTAGTAATGAACGATTTGGTGGCTGTGGAAGTGTGCTGGATGCCCACTCAAGAGAACTGAAGTATAGCTGCTCTGCTGTCTATGGAACTAATATCTTACTTGCTCTTCAGTGCTCTGCTGGAGTTATGAAAGAGAGAGCTGTAAGCGCCCTGCAAAAATTCTATGAAGGAGAAAATCCAACTGCTCCAAAACCCAAGTCCAAGAAAAGATAGGGTGTCCGAAAAAAAAAACAGAACAGCTTAGCTAGCTGGATATCATAATAATTATGTGGTGGTATTATGCTAGCTATATTAGCTACGTGTCCATTGTTCTTTATTTAAAAAACTCTGCGATTGCCTTTCGCAAAATAGCTGCTACAGCTGCGAATTCGCTTGATACCGGAGCTTGTGGTGACTGCGTGGCGTACGGCGCGTTCAAGCGGTCATGTGGTGGAGAGACTCTGCCTACACACGGAACGTCGCTTTCCCGTTCAACAGCAGGGAAAGCACGATGTGCCCAGATGTCTGTTTGCATAGGAAGGAATTTTCTACTTTTTGCATGCGTGTGTACGTGCTCCCGCAAAAGCTGGAGTGGGGGCGGAGCTGCTATTTTTAATCGCGCACGTGGCGAAAATAATTTACCCGCCCATACGCGGCAAGCGCGCTACTGTACGCTGTGGCCTTTGCATGATTGGTGTGCAGAGACGGCCACAGCATTCCCTCAGGGAGTTCTCTAATGCAGTAAAGGAAGAACGCGTTGAATACTCGGTGAGTTGAGTACATGCTATATAACCTATATAACACGGCAGCAGTCCGTGAACGAATGTTTTAGCTAACTAGGTGGCTAGCTATTTGCATCTTACCCTGACGCATTTTCGTAGCTCGCTGCAAACCCTGTTCGAACGTTCCAGGTTCGAGGCGAAATCGAGGAAATATCCACTGGGCTTAGATCGGTAATACTATTTGAGTATATTTTGCAGGAGTTAGATGTTCTGCGAGTCTAGAGTGAGTATAGAAAGGCTGGTGAATGTGCAGGGAGTTTGCGTCAATTCATGCATGAGCTTGCTGCACCTGCGGTAATAACCTGTTGCATATCGTAAAGCTGGAACGGTCTGTATACACAAGTATTGCTGTCCATAATCCTGTTATTCCTCGTGAACTTTCAGTGACAACAGCAGTGTTTTTGCCACAAAACAGCTGGGCTGGGACAGAGGAGAGCTCCTCTAGCTCAGTAACATGGGCATTCCATGGAAGCCCACTGCTGCTCTCTTGCTACTACTGCACCTAGTGCACAGCGACTCTAACCTTCCTAAAATTGATGTAGAGGCAACAGGTATGTAGTGTGTGACAGAAGATGTATATACAGTTTCAATCTGTAGTAGGGGCAGAGCACTTATTTGGAGTGTCTGTCAACTCATTAGCAGCTCTTCTGCACTTGATTGAGGCTGTTTATTAGTGTTATTTTGAGTGGCCTTCTGGGCATAGTTTTTCCCAATGTGGCTTATAGTGGAATGCAACAACCATCTGCTTTGTGCTAACTGTACTCCCCACAGCACAATTAAACTGGTCTGCTGCTGAGAAATGCACTTTAATCCTACACATCTTTGTCCTACCCTTCCCTTATGTAGAGAATATCATGGAGTAAAATTGTAAGATGCTTGTAACAGAGGGCATACTATGCAACGTAGTTTATAGGTTTTATGGGGACGTGTGTGTTTGTGTACAGTTACTGTCTGCAGCTATGGCTTCAATATGTTGGTTTGTTGAATATGATCCTTGCTCGCATGTCATCCATGACAGTCAACTCTGACGTTTTTACACACACTTATAATGGGGATGCCAGACAACACTTATCAAGTATCCATACTTCCCACGAATTAACTTAGACATTGATCAAAAGTTGTATACTACGTTTGATGAGAAATGACGAGGCACCAGATATGCCACCTGGTGTGTAGGCTGACAAGTCCTGAGCATGTACACATACACCAGTCACAGGTGCAATGGAAGGTTGTAACCACCTTCTGTTCCACTGACCAAGTTCCCTTTCATGATAGCTACTCCCACTCTGTCCCACAGAGAGGCCATGCTCTTCCCATTCAGCTCACACCAGAGATCTACCCACACTTCCACCACACTCTCCACACATACATACATACATACATACACTACTGCCCCCACATGGCCTGGTCCTTCTCCTGATGACTCCATCTGTCCAGTACTATACTATGCATACCAGTCACTACAAGTTTAATACTGTCAACACTCACAGTGTACTGAGTGCTCCACACTGTCTCCTGCACACCAGCTGATGAAGCGGTGGATTGCTGGAACCGCCCTGGCCTGGGACAGCTGAGGGCTGTAGTAACCTCCACATGTGCAGGCTTTGAAGTATTTCCCCAAGCATTCCTCCTCCATTGTAATTCCCAGGGTATTTATGAGAAAATGTCTGCCCCCTGGTGTTGAGGGAGAGCTGTGGTAGTGAGGAATGGGGGGAGTTAGAGAGATATCCTTTGGGTTCTATGGAGTAAGAGAGGACTCTGTCTGTCTGCAATAAGTAGAACTTGGAATTTCATTTTCATACACTAGAACAAATGACGATATTTGCAGTGGCAGTGCCCGTCACACATACAGATAATGTATTTAAAAATCCCACATTGAGACAACTAGGTAGGCTTGCTTCGCTCCCCAAACCTAGTTTTTTAACTTCTATATTCCATAAAAATTAGCATGCTATTGTATCTTGTTATCATTTGCACCTTTTATCTTATAAAATTCCAGTCAACTTCTTAGCACAAGTGGGGGTGACTCCTGGAGAGAATGGAACTCTGCCGACCGCCCCTCTATCAGGCACCACAGACTCTGCCGAATGGCAACAGATCAACTCTGACTTTCCCGTCGGGTTCGCCTTCCACGTACAGGCAGTCCTAGACAACTACAGTGGAGACCTGGCATCGCTGAGCGGTGGCCAGCTGAGAATTGCCCTCGACGGTGCGGGCTCTCTGCTGCAAGTCCTGACTTTGACGGTACCCGGAGTTTCGCCACTGGTGGCTGCAATCCCGAGCTCGGATCCTCCCGGCTCGCTCCAGTCTCTTGGAATCAGCATTGAGAGCAAGCTCCTCTCGGTTATTGTCGACTGCCACATCATCACCTCAGTTTGGCTGGCCAACATGCCGCAGCACTTTGACTTTTCGGGAGTGGAGGCCCTCAACCCTCTCACAGTCGTGAGTCATGTTGGATGTCACTGTGTAGCATCAACACTGATTATGCTGGTATGCTTTTGCAGGTTAAGTCTGTCATCTTCTCTAATAATGTGAGCGTAGCTCTAACTGGTTGCGCCGGACTCCAGGTTGGTTTTACACTTTAAAATCAGTGCATTACGACCTCTTTCCTCCTCTGTGTGGGGGGTTGTTCCTTCTGTTGAGTCGTTAATTCTAATCAATTGTAGGGTCCACCCGGACCGCCCGGTATTCCAGGCCCAGAGGGACCTACTGGAAGAAGTGGTTACCCAGGAGATCCAGTGAGTATATACATGATTATACAATAGTCCTTTCAACTTAGTAATTTTCTCTGAGTCATGTTATGGATGCTTTGTTATTCCCCACAGGGTCAGAAAGGAGATACCGGTGTCACTGGAGATCCTGGAGATGAGGGAAGACAAGGATTTCCTGGGATAAAGGTGAATCTCGTCGCCTGGTGTGCATTCATTGGGAGTATATACAACTGTGGTTTGGTTTCCAGGGAGATTCAGGATTTCCTGGAGAGCCTGGTGATGAGGGAGATGTTGGGGACAAGGGAGAGAGTGGAGATGGGGGTGATATGGGAGAGAAGGGCACTGATGGACCCATGGGTGAAATGGGGCAAAAAGGAGACATGGTCAGTTAGCACGAGATATTTCCACGGATATTTTTATATGTTTGTAGAAATTAAGCGCTGTAATGAGTACAAGAAAGAAAAACGTACGAAACAAAACCATTAGTCATGGAAATTGTTCACTTGATTAGGTATATAACAGTTTGATATTATATAGCACTAGTGAATACAAGAAAGAAAAACTAATAAAACAGAAGCAGCAAAAAACGTATTTACCGTACCAAGACATTATATGTTGGTAGTACTGTATCTTTTTCATGTGTGTGTGTGTGTGTGTGTGTGTAGGGTGATGTTGGTGATCCAGGGAATGATGGAGTGAATGGCACCGAAGGAGATAAAGGAGAGAAGGGCATCAATGGCAGAGCTGGACTTCCAGGACCTCCAGTTAGTCATAACTCACCAGTCTAGAAGAATATTAGCTCCTGTGTTATTGAAGAGTAGTTGGGGCGAATTTTGAAAGTAGTTGGTTTGTATTGTTAGTCCACTTCTGACAGTATAGTCCACTACTAGTTACATAATTTGCTCCACTACAGTGAAACCACTCTGTAATGACAGCCCTGCAAGGAGGGATTACAACTCTCTAATAAAACCTTGTAGTTTCCCCGAATAAAGTTCCTGCGTCTACACATACATAGTTTAGAGCCTCTACTTTACTTACCTCTTGTGTCGTTGGTATATTATTCAGGGCCAAATAGGACCTGATGGAGATAAAGGTGACTTGGGAGACCAAGGTATCACTGGAAGAATGGGACTTCCCGGAGATCCAGTAAGACCTTCCCGCAGCTCTTCCTAACATGTGTGAATGCACACTACGTGTTCCACAGGGTGACGTGGGGATAAAGGGGGATGTTGGAGAAACCGGTGAAGATGGTGACGTGGGAGAAAAGGTGGAAGAGTGGGAATTAATTATGCATGTATGTTTTTGAGCAATTCTATGGTGATTTTTTATGCAGGGAGTGAATGGAACTAAAGGAGACATGGGAGTCAAAGGAGACGAGGGAGGTGTGGGACCTAAGGGACTGGAGGTATGTTCTTCAGTATACATAGCCTAGAGAAGGCTTAATGTATGCAATTCATCATAGGGTAACAAAGGAGGCATGGGAGAGGTTGGTGAACCCGGCCGGGACGGAACAGATGGCAGACTTGGCGTCCCTGGAATACAGGTATAGATGTCTCTTCGTGCTGTACCTGCTCTTGCATACTCGTGGATTTTTCTTTCATGAAAATTTGTTCTGTGGATGCATTGGGTTCTATAGGAACCATGGTTTAATCTTCAGCATTATTTGTCCAGGGTCCCTCCGGTCCAAAAGGAGTGATAGGTGTGAGGGGTCGAATTGGTCATCCTGGAGACCCTGTAAGTCAGGGTTTATCTATGATGTAATGGTGATGTAATAAGTACCCACGTAGGGGCCCGACGGACATGACGGGATGAACGGAATGAAAGGGGATTCTGGAGACCCGGGCAGACCAGGAAAATCGGTTAGTTACATTGAACCCTGGCCATAAGTGTTATAATGCCCATAGTTCATTTTCACACATGTCGTGTTACGATATTTATTATGACGACAATACACATAGAGAGACACAGCGTACACGAACCGCAAAATGAGCTAGACTAAAACTGCTGACAGTCAGCTAACCACATGGTCCGTTCATCTGCTCATGCGCACCACATCACTCCCCCTTAGGCTTAGGGAATGATGCTAATGAGATGGTCTGGCAGGTGTAGGTCTCAGCACTGACGTTGTGGTCGCCGAACAGCTAATGGACTCGTCGTCCTGAACACGTAGTCCTTGCTGGTGTGGTGTCGGTAGAGGTGAGGGGAGGTGCAGGAGGTGGTGTGGCAGGCTGTGGTTGGGGCAAACTGTCCACATGAGCTGGCTTCAGACGATCAAGGGAAACGTTGTCTGTGTGACCATTCAGTTCCAGTGTAAAGTACTTGGAGTCCCGTTTTAGGACTTCAAATAGGGCGGTTTAAGAGGTTTGCGGACTGCGTCTGTGCGGACAAAGACATGGGCGCAAGTCGAAAGATGTTTGTGGACGTATGTGTATGGCTGTGACGTCGCTCTGGGTGGAACAGCTCTTAGTGTGCGCATGGCGGTTTTGAGGGTAGTGAGTAACGTTGGAACTGTCGCCAATTGCAGGTGAGGTGTCTTGAAGGAAAAATTCACCTGGTAGATGTTGTGTCCTCCCATACACTAGCTCTGCAGCGCTACATTGTAGGTCGGTCTTGAGGGCGGTACGGATCCCTAGGAGGACCAATGGAAGGTCTCAATCCAGTGCGAGGAGGATGAGTGGGCCTTGAGGGCAGATTTAAGTTGCCGGTGGAAACGTTCAATTATCCCGTTCATGATTGGGTCGTAGGCAGTTGTGCGGAGGTGCTTGCAGCCGAGGAGCTGGAGAAGTTTGGACCATAGCGGTGACTCAAACTGGCGGCCACAGTCGGTGGTTATCGTCGATGGCACCCCAAAACGTGCAATCCAACCGGAAGTGAACGTTAGAGCTAGTGTCTGCAGTCTGTCTGGCATCTGGAAGGCGTCAGGCCAGCGAGTGAAGCAATCGATACACGTGAGCAAGTAGAAGTGTTCGTGGGAAGGGGGAAGGGGGCCGACAATGTCGATATACATCAAATCTGGAATCGGGGGTTTTGAAGGTGGAAAATGGCGTTACTGTGTGGCGCTGACTCTTGGACCGTTGGCATGGTAGGCAAGTTCGGGACCATGCTCTGATATCTTTTCTTTCCTGGCCAAACAAATCGTGCAGCGATAAGATGGCGAATTGCTTGTTCCCCGGGATGAGACAGGGAGTGTAAGGCGTTGAAGACAGTGCGGCGAAGTGGAGAGGATACGAACGGGCGGGGTGTGCCTGTACTCGTATCGCAGGTGATGGTGGTTGAGGAAGCAGGGAGAGGCAGAGATTGCATTTTGCAGGGCCAGGAGTTCTGGGTCGGTTTAGTGAGCCTTTGCCAACACTTGGAGATCAACAGTTGGCAGATGTGTTGCATTGAGGGAACACACGACAGGCATTGCGGGAAAGGGCATTGGCGAGCAGATTGTGGTGCCCTGGAACGTGACGGCTATCGGTTGAGAATTGGACAATGTAGTCGAGGAGGCATATTGACGTGGCGTGTACTTGTCAGAGGCAGTTGAGAGGGCAAAGGTCAGTGGTTTGTGGTCGGTTGCAATATAAAATTCACGACCTTCCACAAAGTGTTTGATTGCCAGGTATATTCCCAAGAGTTCACGATCGAAAGTGCTGTAACGTATTTCTGCTGGTCGGAGCTTCTTTGAAAAGTATGCGATTGGTTGCCAGTCGCCATCGATCTGCTGTTGCAGGACTGCACCCACTGCCGTATCTGAGGCGTCTGTCATAATAGATGTCGGTACGAATGGCTTGGGGTGAGTAGGGTGGCGGTAGCGAGTACTGGCCTTCCCGTTTCCTGAGTAGGAGCAGGGAGGTGTGCATTTACAGGCCATGTCGCCGAAGCGAGCGTGGTACCAGCACATGGAGGTGGGAGTCGGGTGTGGAGGTGGTGACCGGGGTTGGAAGGGAGGACGGCGAGGAGAGGGGGAACGCGTCCTGGTGGATGTCTAGTGGGCGGAGACTCTTTCGCGGAGTTGGGATAGTTCTTAACAGAGTTCTTCAACCTCGCATGATGGCTCAGGTTGAGTGACACCTGAAACGTCAGGTGGGCCAGCTGCAATGATGTTGTCTCCGAGTTCCGCGAGCTGGTCGAGTGTTTTCGTGTCACCGAAGGAGGCTAATGCCATACGGACGTTGCCAGGGAGACGTTGGAGAAATAGCTCGCAAAGGAGTTCACGTCGGCACCGCCTCCCAGCAGTTGCTGCATGCGACGGAGAAGTTGCGTGGGTCTCTGATCTCCCAACTTTGTGGAGGTGTGTAACTGCTGCAGGCGCCGTTGTTCGGGGAGGGCTGTGCGCGTAACGAGTTGGCTTTTGAGCATGTCGTACGGTGTCACGTCTGGGATGCGGAGGATGAGGTCCCGGACCTGGGTAGCAAATTCGAGCGAGATAGATAGGCCACCACATACTCATACTTGGTTTTCTGTGAAGTTATGCCACAGGTGGAGACCTCAGCCTCAACTTGCGTGAACCACAAATCCGGGTCGGACTGCCAGAAGGGGGGTAGTTTGAGATTTAAGGCAGCCACGGCTCCTTCTTCGCGTTCGACAGACATTTAGCTCACGTTGTTGGTCACCAATGTCGTGTCATGATATTTAATATGACGACAATACACGTAGAGAGACGTACACGAACCGAAAAATGAGCTAGACTAAAACTGCTGACAGTTTTAGAGAGTTATGTAACCAGCTAACCATGTGGGCCGTTCGTCTGCTCATGCACACCACACATGTAACAAGTAAATAAAAAATTCTTCGAATTAAAAAGTGTGGAATATAGGGAAAGCAAGGAGACGAGACAGGGATGACCTAGTGAACATGATGCAGTAGTACAATGGATGATGGCTACATACTTTGAACTGACATCGCTTGCTCATGTAAAATTTCCTCCACACAAGCCCTATATTGTTGTGAAGTACGAGTGTGCTCCCTTGTGTGATGCACAGCTATGATTTATTTCATAAGCACATTAGACAGGTATACCATCTACTCGGTTTTCAGTTGTGACTGCATTGTGTGAAATCTATGACTTCTACATTTACTCAACTAACCAGTTTTACAATGCTGCGTTCTTGGCCATCTACATACAGAATCCTTTCACCATTGTCCTCGCACTTCACTAAACAAACAGTAAAGGTGGCAACAATATAGGGCTTGTGTGGAGGAAATTTTACATGAGCAAGCGATGTCAGTTCAAAGTATGTAGCCATCATCCATTGTATATACTACTGCATCATATACACTAGGTCATCCCTGTCTTGTCTCCTTGCTTTTTATGGCATCCCTATATTCCACACTTTTTTAATTGGAAGAATTTTTTTATTTACTTGTCTCCTTTTCTTTTTCTTACTGCATTCACATGCATGGTGTGCATATATATAAAAGGGGGATATTTTTGGGCACAAGCCCATAAAAAAGTAACATTAGTGGCCTTAACCATTGCCTCAGACGTTTTGTCGTCATTCACATTACACCAGTGCACCAAGTATGTGAGAGGACCCACCATAAGCAAGTTATAGGCACTGACACCGTTTAAAAGTCTTTTTTGCCTGAGGCTGTTTGTTGTTGTTTACAAGCTTGTAATTTCTGTTTCGATGAACTCTCACCATGGTACATCAGTGTACCAAGCTTTATTGTTAGGGGACCAACCATTAGCAAGTTAGAGGCACAAACACCATTTACAAGTATTTATTGCCTGAGGCTGTTTGTTGTTGTTTATAAACTTGTAGTTTCTGTTTCAATGAACTCTCATCATGGTACATCAGTGTACCAAGTTTCATTGTTTGAGGACCAACCATAAGCAAGTTAGAGGCACAAACACCATTTACAAGTTTTAATTGCCTGAGGCTGTTTGTTGTTGTTTACAAACTTGTAAATGTTTACATTTTGTTACTAATGATGGGTTGTATATGTGTACAAAGTTTTATCACACTGGGTATTAGCTTTACCTAGTTAGCACTGTTTATTTTTCTCTATCATATAATGTGTTGCCTGGGGCTATTTTTTTTTGTTTTTTGTTGTTGCAACATTGTTTACAAACAAATTAAAATTCTCTTGCACGACCTGTCATGGATTCCAATATCTGCGCAAAGTTTCATCTCCATATCTTACCTGGTTTTTGAGATACGCTATTTGAAACTTAACGACAACAACAACAACAACAACAACGAGAAGAATTTTTAAAACTAACTTTCTTGATTAAATCAAGTACCAATTATGCGATTTAAGCCATTTCTTGGATACATGCTCTTTGTGATGATAGGGATCAGTCTGATGTGTCAAAAGTTGGACCTGATTGAAACTGAAAGTGAAACATGAAAATCTCAAATGTATGGGCATAATGCAGGACAACCTGTGTCATCCCTATATACTAAGTACTACCGTACTTACTGATAATCCCAAACAGTACCTCAGCCTTTATCTTGGAGTTCCTGCTTGTTTTAGGTCATGTCCTTGTGTTTATGACGATTCATGATTCACACTGTATGGGTTCTACTGTTCATATGTATGTAATTATTCATTCTCAGGGCATTCCTGGACAAGATGGTAAACCAGGTTATCCTGGACTCCCAGGGAGACAGGGCCAGCCTGGGATGAAGGGAGATGATGGTGAGAAAGGAGATGATGGAATGGATGGAGACAAAGGATTCCCTGGAAAAGGAGGTCCAAAGGTTAGAAAATGGTGTGCTTGTTTTTAGAGCAATCTGACAATCACAATGAGAATTGAAATAGCAAAGGATTCCTGAATTCCTTGCCTATCGAAATTTCCAGTTAATAACCGTTGTCTCTTTTGAGCTCTTCTACTGCTCTGTACTTCACAGGGTATTCCGGGACGCAAAGGGCCACCTGGAGCGCCAGGAGAGGATGGAAGCATAGGAGAGGATGGAGAGGATGTATGTATATGCAAACTATTAAACTGAAGGGGCTGTGTACTTTATGGTGTTGTAGGGTGTACCAGGAGAGAATGGCACAAAGGGAGAGAAGGGTATTGGTGGAAGACAAGGAAGTCCAGGAGATGATGTGAGTCGACAACACAGTAGTTAGCATTCAGCACTCCAAAGTGAAAGCTCTATCATACTACCAACGTTGCCATTTTCAGGGTGATAAAGGAGACATGGGTCAAAAGGGAGACAACGGGACCATTGGAAGAACAGGACTCCCAGGAGAGAGAGTATGTTGATTTCTCATAAACTGTGTGCACAGACACAATTGGCTATTTTATGTGCCATTGTAGGGAGACATTGGAGATATGGGAAATAAAGGTGAAATGGGACAGAAAGGGATGATGGGAGATGAAGTAAGTGTATCAAATTAAACGTTGGGATAACATTCCACTGAGTTGCTTCTGGTGGACAGGGACAAAAAGGAATCAATGGGAGCCAGGGAGTAAAGGGAACAAAGGGACTAAAAGGAATCATTGGCATGAAGGCAAGAATTATTTGCTTGCTACGACTAAGTTTTGAGTCACGAAATTTGTTATTGGTTACCCAATGTCATAAGTTATGAACATGGGTTACGAGCTAAGAAAATGCTGACCAGCAGATTTCGTGACTCAAAACTCTGTCTTAACACGAAGAACCAACCACATGAGAGAAAACACAATAATGGACCATTTGGGTAATGTAGGGGGAGATGGGAATGAAAGGTGACGCAGGACCTTTTGGTGACAAAGGAGAACCAGGACCCAAGGTGAGAAGGAAAAACTAATTTTAGATTTAGGAAATGAGGCCGACCTTTGTGCAGGGAAACGTTGGCCCTACCGGAGCACCTGGACTTGTGGGTGACATGGGTATGACAGGCATGATGGGTCAAAAGGTGAGTATTAATTAATGGGGAGGGGCTTTTAAATTTTCCTATTAATCTCTCTCGTGCAGGGAGATGTTGGAGACACTGGCCAAGATGGAGATATGGGAGATAATGGAGAAATAGGAGACGTTGGTGACATTGGAGATCCTGTAAGTAAATGTCACCCACTCAGCTGTATATGAATGTTGTCTTTATTCGACTTTGTGTTCTTACATTGACCAGGGACCTAATGGTTTGGACGGTACTCCCGGCATGGACGGCAGAAACGGTACAAACGGAGGTGCCGGTTTCCCAGGAGATGATGTAAGCATGTTAATTTGGATTGGGCTATGAGTAGCTCGTGAGAAAAGCCACACAGGTATGTATTGATATCATGGTACCATGATCCTCTTTCAGGGTCCGAAAGGAACTGCTGGAAGAAATGGCACCGATGGAGAAATTGGAGATGAGGGGAAGATGGGTGCAAAGGTATAACAGACAGCAGACAGGCTAGGACTAAGCTGTGTTTGACTGTTCCATTGTGAATGTAGGGTGCCAAAGGAGGGATGGGAGACAGAGGTGACCCTGGGATAGAAGGGGACATAGGATCAACAGTAAGTGACTGGCAAATACACGATTCTTTAAAGCAATGGTTTAAGGTCCCAGTCACATGTACGTGTGATGTTGGTTCATATCAACTGCTTTCAACATGCTCATAATCATGTCAAAAAAGTGATTGATGTCGATCTCTTCCTGATTATTTTCTTCAGGGAGGCAGAGGAGAAATTGGTGAGATAGGTAACCAGGGTTCCGCTGGAGATTCTGGACCAGGCGTATGTGCATTACAAGTGACTGAAACTCTATAATCCACTACTGCGTCTGTGTGTCTGTGTGTAGGGCCCTATTGGTGCCAAAGGAGGGGAGGGTAACAGGGGCTCAGAAGGTCCAATGGGACCCAAGGTATAGTCTATCTTTGTTTTCGTGGTAGGTTTACTCTGCATTGCCCTCTAGGGTGTGGCGGGGCCCAAAGGAATAGCAGGTGAACAAGGTCCTACTGGAAAACCGGGAGACAAGGTGACCTCTTTAATACACACACGTTTTTTGTAACTTTGAAATATGGGTGTGTCACTAGTATGGACAGTTTTGAAAAAAACAGCCAACCTTAGTTTGTGTCATTGGTGTACCACTGTACTTGCAGTACGTGTCAAAAATGTGGCAGTGTTGTTGAGTGGTCATCTTTCTGCAGGGTGACAGCGGAGTAAATGGAATGAAAGGTATTGCGGGAGTCGATGGAAGATCTGGTGTCCCTGGACAAAAGGTGGGCATTGTTTCATTGCGAGATAAGGACATGTGTAGGAGATCCCTTGTTTATTTCCATAGGGAATGGAAGGTGCAACTGGTATGACGGGTGATCAGGGACAGACAGGTCGCGCAGGAGCCCTGGAGCTAATGTAAGACAAAAGCGCTTGCATGCTTTAATAAAGAAGAACTCACCTCAATTCTGCTACTGTGTATCATAGGGAGTGGATGGGGCAAAGGGTGGAGTTGGAGACATCGGGAACATGGGAAAGAAGGGTGAAAATGTAAGAATACAACTGACCAAGGAATGGCTGTATTACTCTATAACTGCTGGTTCATAGGGAACTGATGGAATGAAAGGAGAAGATGGTGATCCTGGTGTACCTGGCAGAAAGGGACCTCCCGGAATGACGGTCAGACATCAAATAGTTTTAGTTGCGATATAACACCAGTATGTGGGTGAAGAGAAAGTAAGTTATACTCTTTACCTGGTGTTGTTGCAGGGAGAGAAGGGTGACCTGGGCCCAAGGGGTCCACGGGGAATTGTTGGAGATAAGGGACTGCAGGGTGTGTCTGGCCCGCCTGGAGACGAGGGACCAACTGGAGATACGGTAGGTCAATGTAATTGTGTGGAAGCTGAATTGGCAGGGGTTGGGTCAGGGACCCCCACTTTCTCTCGGGTGTACCGAAATGAATGCTGTGCTAACAGGCAACCCCCAGTGACACTGTGTTCATATGCAGTAGGACTAGTACTACAGTGACACCTCTACATAAGGGACACCTTGGGGACATATGCAGTAGGACTAGTACCACAGTGACACCTCTACATAAGGGACACCTTGGGGACATATGCAGTAGGACTAGTACACAGTGACACCTCTACATAAGGGACACCTTGGGGACATATGCAGTAGGACTAGTACTACAGTGACACCTCTACATAAGGGACACCTTGGGGACATATGCAGTAGGACTAGTACCACAGTGACACCTCTACATAAGGGACACCTTGGGGACATATGCAGTAGGACTAGTACCACAGTGACACCTCTACATAAGGGACACCTTGGGGACATATGCAGTAGGACTAGTACTACAGTGACACCTCTACATAAGGGACACCTTGGGGACATATGCAGTAGGACTAGTACTACAGTGACACCTCTACATAAGGGACACCTTGGGGACATATGCAGTAGGACTAGTACTACAGTGACACCTCTACATAAGGGACACCTTGGGGACATATGCAGTAGGACTAGTACTACAGTGACACCTCTACATAAGGGACACCTTGGGGACATATGCAGTAGGACTAGTACCACAGTGACACCTCTACATAAGGGACACCTTGGGGACATATGCAGTAGGACTAGTACCACAGTGACACCTCTACATAAGGGACACCTTGGGGACATATGCAGTAGGACTAGTACCACAGTGACACCTCTACATAGGGACACCTTGGGGACATATGCAGTAGGACTAGTACCACAGTGACACCTCTACATAAGGGACACCTTGGGGACATATGCAGTAGGACTAGTACTACAGTGACACCTCTACATAAGGGACACCTTGGGGACATATGCAGTAGGACTAGTACTACTGTGACACCTCTACATAAGGGACACCTTAAGGGCCTTCTTCTGAGGCATCTGTCCGTCTGTCTGTCCGTCTGTTACCACGTTTTCTGCCACCACGCGCAACAAACAGGTAAAATAGCGACACCAACAGGTTCAGTGCTACAGTGGCTTGATTTTAAAAATGGTGATTTTCGTAAAAGTGCCGCGTTCAGAAGTTATGGCGTGAAAACCAAGTGAACAAGCCAATATGCTAATTAGCACTAGCTTACCTCGACCTGATCTGCTTGCTCTGTGTACCTCGGAGGCACAAGAAGTCACAACGAAGGGCGTGTATCGACTCCCGCATGCTATCTACTACTGTAGCTAGCCCGTGTCAGACTCTCCATGAGCTACTAGCAGGAGATCACGAGTAAACGCAGACTAATAAGCCCAGCCCATCAATTAGAGGTACCGCGCATGCGCAGTTCGCCGAGGGTTTGCACTTTAGTGCTTTTCATTACAGGTAGTATCAATAATGTATAGTATGGGGCAGATCCAAGTGTCCCTTATATAGGGAGGTGTTCTTTATTCAGAGGATCGTTTTTGGAGGTTTCACTGTAAATAGCGAAAACTGCATCTGAGGAGCAATGAGAGCTCTATCTTCTCTATGCACATGAATACATTGACCACACGTTCACACCCTAATCCACGTATTTTATCTTCCACCAGGGAGTGATTGGACCAGGAGGAGTTGTAGGACCAACGGGAATAGTGGGAATTGTTGGCATGGTCGGACCAAAGGCAAGATTCAATCACTTACAGATGTATCGCTTTGCTGCCTAGCAAGCTTTTCTGTCTAGCACTATTTTCTTCGGCTCATGTTATATTATTGTTCTGTTCAGGGAGAGGAAGGTTTTCCTGGTTACCCTGGCAAGCAGGGTCGTCCTGGTGACCCAGGGGAAGAGGGAGACGACGGGCAGAAGGGTGACAATGGACTCAAGGGCATGAAAGGAGACATGGGACACCCTGGTACGATTGCACATGTATTGCACTAGCCATAACAGTAGGAACAATTTCCAGGGAGAAACCTTTTGTTATTAAGTAGCATAATGAGCAAAAGAAAACCTTGGGTATTTTTCCGGTCTCATTATGAGGATTTCCCTGCCCCATAAATCTCCAACCAGCAAATAGCGCAACGTTTCTCAGTGTCTTTCTTCCTTGTGCTTCGTGCATGTTACAAACATGAAGCATGTTTTTGTTGTATGTCTTGTGGACCACTGCAGGGAAGCCAGGGACGCCGGGAACGAATGGAACTGATGGGGAAAAGGGAGAAGATGGAGAAAAAGGAGAAGTGGGGGATAAGGGGCTCATGGGGATGATGGGGGACGAAGGACTGGAAGGAGAGAACGGAACTACTGGAGAGCCTGTGAGTATATCTCTATCAGTTTGGCTGATTCTATACTAGGTCCATAAAGGTTAATGCAGTGTCCTGCTTTCATAGCTACCTAGTTTGGCAATGTCAGTTACCTTTTACAGTCCTGTGTGCTCTGTGTGTATCTTGGATGATAATGGACTTCTAAACCTCCTACCATGAAGAAAGCGTTACAGTAGGGGCAATACTACTACATACCTATCTCACATGCAGGGATTTGAGGGTCGTGCTGGTGTCCCTGGTCCTGACGGGGACGAGGGAATGAACGGCGACAGAGGAGCCAAGGGAGAGCCTGGCGTCCCCGGACGAGTGGGTGACCCCGGCACCCCTGGTATCCCTGGCATGAACGGAGCCCCTGGTGATATGGGTGACCCCGGGGATATGGGCTTCCCCGGCAAGACGGGGCCCAAGGGAATGAGGGGGCAGAAAGGAGAACCTGGACAGCCCGGAGAAGGTAAGGTTGAGAAATGGGAGGCACACGGTACGAAATTTCAGTGGCACACCCTCACCAGCACCCTTATCAGTGAATGAACCGAGTCTTCTGAATTGTGCGATTTTTTTATGTATCTGATGGTTGGGCACTGTCATCCATAAACATGAATCCACTGAGATTCGTGTTTGCTCATCAAAAATGCATTGCATTCATTTTAGTTAATTGGGTGCTTTACGTAACCTGCTTGCCCAACGCAAGCTAACTCGTGGTAGGCGTAAAAAATCATGAACTAACATCGTCTACAATGCAACATGGGAGATAAGCAACTGATGGGCACGGGCCCTATGCTGGATCTGCTACTAATTTTAATTTTTACACCTGCTAACACAAGGAACACACGATCAAACTAAGCCTTGAGTATACTCAAGTGCTATTTTAAAAGTGATGATAGATATTCAATTGTAGATGGACGTAATGGCACTAATGGAATCATTGGACCACCTGGAGAGAAGGGCAGCGGTGGTAGAACAGGAGTGCCTGGTGACCCTGGGGTCCCTGGGAAGACGGGCATGCCTGGACCCACCGGCCCACTTGGTGATGATGGGATCCCTGGAACTGACGGAGAGAATGGAACTGATGGGACACCCGGCAACAGAGGCGATATTGTAAGCCCTGACAGAGCTACAGTGGAACTTCTGATAAGGGAACCTCCGAGATAGGGATGACCTCTCTACAAAGGACGCTTGTATCAACTCCATGCTAATACTATTTGACCTCTGAGACCCTCTACAAGGGACAAAATTGTTGACCCCATAATGTCCCTTGTTCAGAGGTTCCACTGTGTATATTTTTAACTCTTTACTCCTGCTGTAATATCAGCATTTTACGTCATTTCTGTTGTGTGTAGGGTGACACGGGAGACAAAGGGATGGTGGGAGACCAGGGGCCACCAGGATCTCCTGACAGTCAGTTGCATTACACACTGCTATATATTGCTTACACCTGTGTCACCGGCAGTTGAGTACTCTTAACACACAGCCTTGTTCCCAGGCCCTCTGTGGCAGAGGAGGCCTAGTACACACTGTTGGTCCATGCACCGAATACATGTCACTGAAAATCGTTGGTGTGTCCAAACGTAGCATGAACACATGGCAATTCAGTCCTGTCAGCTGTACACTTTCGCTACTGTGAACAGTGTCTACCAGGCCTTCTCTCTCACGTATAAAGCCTGGGAATGGGGCTAACTGTTCAGCAGGTTTTTCCGTTCTAAGTAAGACATATTGCTACATCCTACAATGTCAGCTACAATTCCCTCCCGTGTGTACATGAACACATGCAGTGTAATAATATTTGTGTGGTAAGATTTATTTTCTGAGTTTGATTATGACAAGAACGAAATTTCACAAACAAAAAATCCACCACACGGTAATTCTCTGTTACTATTTGATTAACACGTCGATGGATTGCAGATGTTGACCCCGAAGATGGCCGTGGTATGCAAGGTGACAAAGGTGAAAAAGGCACTGTGGGGTTAAAGGGAATGAGAGGACCTAAAGGTGACAACGGAACAATTGGTGATGAGGGATACCAAGGACCTCCCGGGGATCAAGGTACGACGTTGTAATATCACCTGTGAATTTGTTACGATGCATCTTTCAGTTTTGGGTCATTAACCCTCGGCGCGCATGCACAGCGAGGGTTACGGTACATGGTTTGTAAGTGTTTCTGTCTGTTACCACGTTTTCTTGGACAACGCACAACGACACAACAAAACAGTGATACCAACAGGTTCATCGCTACACTGGCTTCATTTATAAAAAAGGTGATTTCATTTCATTTGCATTCAAAAGTTATGGCGTGAAAAGCAAGTGGACATGCCAATATGCAAATTAGAACAGGCTTACCTTGACCGGGTCCACTTGCTCTGTGTACCTATCTTGAAGGCACAAGAAGTCTCAACGGAAGGCGTGTATCGACTCCCGCATGCTATCTACTATTGTAGTTAGCCCGAAACAATTTGGCGGTCATTGTGTGCTGTACATTAATGTTTGCACAATCATGTAATTCTACGTAAATCCACCCACCACCGCACTGCCAAACTATTAATGCACTACAGGTGATAAGGGTGTGAATGGAAGTATGGGAATGACTGGAGACGAGGGACCAAAGGGGTTCCAGGGAGAGGAAGGAGACAAGGGTGTCAAAGGAGGAGTTGGAGTGAAAGGTTTGAGTCGTGCAACAAGACGCAAAATGGCTCAAATTGTTTTCATTTAGGTGAGAACGGCATGATTGGTGACGACGGATTCAGAGGGGAAAAGGGCACAAAGGGAGAAAAAGGAATCATTGGTATAGAGGGAGAAATGGGAGAGAAGGGAGTCAATGGGTCGATGGGGGACAAGGGGGAACAGGGTGACCCTGGAATAATGGGAGAGAAAGGTTTTGCCGGGAGAAAGGGGCCTCCTGGACCAGAGGGACCAATTGGAGGGAAACACGTAAGAACCCTTCTGGTCTAGTCTCTAGCAATTTTAGAAATGTGGCAATACTGTTTAATAGATCAACATCTATGAGACGTTTGACGATTTGATAGCTTCGTGTGATGAGAACGAGACTCCGCCCACTGATGGCTGCCTGGCCTTTGTCCGCAACACCCGATTCGTCTACATCCAGTTGCCAGGAGACACCTGTGACTGGGTGCCTTGGGTGAGTACCTTTCCAGGGCGTCACCAGAATATTACGCAAGCAACGTAGCTATACATATTGACTTTGTTGACAAGAATACTCTTTATGCTTGCAAACAGAAAAAAACAAATATAACGTAGCCAAACATTTTAACTGCACTGCAGTCCTCATCAGTGACATGAAAGTACATATACATGTGGCAATGCGTGCCATGTGTTTTTTGGAGCCAGGTAAAATTAATACTGCGTGCTCTATTTTCGTAGGAGGGTCCAATAAAACTACCTGGACCTCCAGGACCTCCAGGACTGATTGGACCCAAAGGAAAAATGGTGACAGTCTCTATCCTTTACCTTGTATGCCACCGTCCAACTGTCTTGCTGTTAATTTTGCAGGGAGTCAAGGGAATGGAGGGGGAGAAAGGTCAAAAGGGTATTGCCAACCTTGATGGAGGAGTGGGTCGAAAGGTAGCACCAATATCCTTCCTGTCCTCTCAGGGTAACTTTTGTAAACTTCTTCTGCTAGGGTCAGCAAGGAGACATGGGTCTTAAGGGGCTACAAGGAAGTAAGGGCCTGGAAGGAGACAAGGTATGTATTAACTTTTCTATGCCTAATGATGCTAATTAATGATAATTTCCTCAGGGTGACAAAGGAATCAGAGGTCCACCAGGTGACCAAGGAGAGAGAGGACCCGAGGGAGATATGGGAGACAAGGTTTGAACACATAAAAATACTTTTGCACAACTATCAACTGCAGTGGCTGTTTCAAAGTTATATACTCGGAGGGCAAGACCCAACAATTTTTCTTGATGGCCACACGTTTTAGGAGAAGGTTGGGGCAAGGTAGAGAGTGAGATTGAGGGAAAAGACAAAAAGTTAGAAAACTATGTTTTAAAGGCGGGTGGGCAAAATTGGCAAGCACAACATTTTGCAGGAGCAAACAGATAAAATGCACATGCAAAAAACAACTACCTTTTCATAAAGCAAATTCGCATCTCCTCTTTGACACACTTAATACAACTTCCTCTTCAAGTAAACAAGGCATAGATCGAACGAATATCCAACGATTGATACCTGATGTTTTATAGGGTCCTAAAGGACGAGTTGGCTTTGATGGAAGCGACGGAACTCCTGGTGACAAAGGTCAAAAAGGAGAAATTGGTCCCATAGGAGACAAAGGAAAAGAGGTAAGTAGAGTTACGTAGTTACGTAACTAGCCTGCATTATTAATCAATTCTCTTTCAGGGAGAACAAGGTCCTCAAGGTGTTAAGGGTGTAAAGGGAGAAGAGGGAGGTCCAGGGTTGATTGGTAACAAAGGAAAGAAGGTTAGTCAATTCTAAATCACGTGAAAAAAGGCTACAAAATGCTCTTAAATGCACAGGGAGACCAAGGAGATCAGGGTCAGAAAGGGGACATGGGGGACAAGGGGAACAAAGGTGAACAGGTGAGACCTACATAGCATAATCTTCATAGTTGCACGTGGAACATCTGTGATCATTTGCTTGTAGGGAGACGACGGTATGCAAGGTCCTCGGGGAGACAAAGGAGAGATTGGGTCAGGAGGAGACGATGGCCCTACGGTACGTTTAAAACTTACCACTTGACAGCAAAGTTTGCATCTGCTATACTTGGCATCTAAACAGGGAGATACAGGTCCTCTAGGAGAGAAGGGATATCCTGGTAGAGATGGAGATCATGGAGACCCTGGTCCTGAGGGACCCACCGTACGTTTCTTTAGTCGAGCTACTGTGTGATAATGAATACTGCGGTTACGTATGTTGCAGGGTCCTGCAGGCCCTGTTGGCCCCACTGGTCCCCCAGGTTCTATAGGAGAGGATGGAAAACTGGTAAAAAGAATGATGTCAAGTATCTAAGAGTGTTTCTGTCACTGACCACAGGGAGAACCAGGTATTAATGGAACAGATGGTGACATGGGAGAAAAGGGAATCAATGGAAGACAAGGCAGGCCTGTAAGTTGAGAGTAAGTTTTTATGTGACGGCATTAGTCTAGATAAGAAAATCGTTGCCATTTGACTGACTAGGTGCACTTACCAACAGCTTGGTGAGTGAGTGTGTCTCATGTGTTTTTATGGTAGGGAAAGCCTGGTAGAGATGGCTATGACGGTCGCAATGGAACAGACGGACTTGTTGGAGCAGATGGAAAGAAGGTATGCATATATTTGTGTGTTTTTCACTCGTGACTGTTACACATCTGCATATCTGTAGGGCATCACAGGCGAGAAAGGATACTCTGGAAGGAAAGGTGTGAGAGGCCGAATTGGAGAACCCGGAGAATTTGTAAGACATATAGCACTTCATATGTACTTGGTACCAATTGATACATGTGCTCTTTTCTGTGGTAATCCCTCAGGGTGACCCGGGCCTGCCTGGAGATGAAGGTCCTACTGGTACAACCGGACCTAGAGGACCCAAAGGACACCCAGTGAGCTCCTACCAATTGGTTCATTTCGACTGTCCTTACCCACGAGTCTGTGTGACATACAGGCACAAGATGGTGTGAAGGGAGCCATGGGGGAGAAAGGCAGACTGGGCATTACCGGGGAAGATGGAAAAAAAGTAATACTTTTTAAGAGTAGCCATTTTGTGAGTATTTAATGTTATTAGACATTTTTCTAATGCATGTGAGAGCGCATGCCCTCAACATATGGCGAAAGTGGAGTATAGTAACAGTACGGTTGACCTACTCATAATATGGTGTTTGATAGGGAGTGAAAGGAATGATGGGTGACAAGGGACTTGTGGGATTCCCTGGAGATCTAGGGCCAATGGGAGAGAAGGTATGTTGATAAACTAACCAATATGTGGCTCCCTTTGTGTATTTGTGACATGCTTATACATGCCACCATAATAATTATTATTTGCCTGTTTTCTTGTTATCTAGGGCATAACGGGACAAATGGGATTTGATGGCGATGTTGGAAGCACAGGCATTGTAGGAGAAAAGGTGAAGACGCAATTGTAGAAAAGCAAACTGACACACAAAGTTTCACTGCAGGGTATGATGGGTGATGTGGGTGATACCGGCATGGATGGTGATATGGGACGGAGTGGCAGTGTTGGAGACAAGGTAACAAATGATGATAATAGCCTTGCTATCTGATTATTGTGCTCTGCACACATTCAGGGTATGATGGGTCCGAAAGGTGTGATTGGCGTCAAGGGACAAAAGGGAGAAGTTGGGGAAGTGGTAAGTCTTGCAGTTGGTGCATCTCTTAACCCCTATTTAGCTCTTTACTATTGTGTACGTTGGTATATTATGTATAGAATCGTGTAGAAATTGATTATGTGCTTGTGTGAATCTGTGTTTGGTTGCATCGTGGTGTGTAGGGATCTGGAGGAGACACTGGATTCCGAGGAGAGAAAGGAGACAATGGTACAGTCGGTGACAAAGGAGACAAGGTATTATCACGACCTCATAGCACGCTTACTGGCACCTGAGAGTAACTTGTAATGTGTTACAGGGTATGAACGGAGATGATGGGATGAAGGGAGAAAAGGGACATCCTGGGTCAAAGGGACCGAATGGCAAGAAAGGATCACCTGTGAGTTTACGTCAGAGTTGCTAGATGTACTAACTAGCCATATTTCCTTTTTGTTCAGGGCGTAAGTGGCACTGATGGTGTGGATGGAACAGACGGCGTTCCTGGCACTAATGGACCACGAGGTCTGAAAGGAGAAATGGTGAGACAACTGCGTTCATCATTCCTACAGTGTGTGTATGTTGTGTGTTGGTGTGCATTACAGGGTCCAGCAGGCACACCTGGTGATGATGGTGTGGATGGAGATAAAGGAGCCATGGGCAAAGAAGGAGAACTTGTGAGTGACAACCACTGTACTCTAGCATTGGCAATTCATGTGCGTCAAGATTTCACATTAATTAGCAACATACTGTCTTTGGGAGTGCAAGTTGTGCAGGAATTCATTCTGCTGAGAAATTTAGTTGGTGCTTCCTTCAGCTTATGAAAACCACCCATTATATTTTTTGGTGCCACTCTGGAGACGAGGAGGGAATGCGTCTCGTTCCAGGTGACAGTCTGGGTGCCACTCTGGAGACGAGGAGGGAATGCATCTCGTTCCAGGTGACAGTCTGGGTGCCACTCTGGAGACGAGGAGGGAATGCGTCTCGTTCCAGGTGACAGTCTGGGTGCCACTCTGGAGACGAGGAGGGAATGCGTCTCGTTCCAGGTGACAGTCTGGGTGCCACTCTGGAGACGAGGAGGGAATGCGTCTCGTTCCAGGTGACAGTCTGAGTGCCACTCTGGAGACGAGGATAGGCTGTCCCTGAAAGCCATAGGCATGTATAGGGAGGGGTATAGGTTGTTAGATAGGTGCTGCCCCAAACATTTAGGGTCCGGCTTTAGTGAGCTTACTTGGTTGTGAATTATAGTGGAGCTCCTGCTAGTGCTGCTGCGACGCCGTTGGTCTCGCTGCTCGGCAGGTGGATGTAGCGCCGGTAGCAGTCGCTGCTCCAGCGGCCCAGGGCTTGGATCCTCCAATCTGGAATGCCAGCTGCGGCTGCTGCTGAGGCAGCCCCTATGCGGAAGGAGTGGGAGGAGTACCGCTGTGACTCGGCTCCGCACCGCGAGGCCAGGTCTCTGATTAGGTGCTGCCCCAAACATTTAGGGTCCGGCTTTAGTGAGCTTACTTGGTTGTGAATTATAGTGGAGCTCCTGCTAGTGCTGCTGCGACGCCGTTGGTCTCGCTGCTCGGCAGGTGGATGTAGCGCCGGTAGCAGTCGCTGCTCCAGCGGCCCAGGGCTTGGATCCTCCAATCTGGAATGCCAGCTGCGGCTGCTGCTGAGGCAGCCCCTATGCGGAAGGAGTGGGAGGAGTACCGCTGTGACTCGGCTCCGCACCGCGAGGCCAAGGTCTCTGATTAGTTGTTGAGTCTCTGGCGTGTGAGAGCAGCTGTCTGGAGGCGGAACAGAGTACGTTCTGTGGGGCCCTGGGTCGCTAGGTAGGAATCCAGGGCAGTGACTGCACAGAGGGACGGGGTCGCCAGATGGGAGCACTGTGACAACAGCTCCAGAGCGGAACGGGTCCGTCTTGGACTGTTTGATGTGCACCTGGAACCCGTCCGCTGTCCTGTGCAGGTCCCAT